GGAGGATAGCCTCCGATTGAATCGGTGATCTGTACCCTCCAAAATAAAAAGAAAATGACATTTCAGAAAAAATCGCCCGAAATCTGTGATGGTACCCCTTTAGAATCTGCCAAAAATGGACCCGGAAGAAATCCGCCCAAATCCGTGTTTAATGGACTTAATCATCGTCGAAGAATAGCCTCAGGCCGAATCCGTGATCCGTAGCCTTCAAAATCCAAGGAAAATGGCCTTTTGAAAAATCTAGACCAAATATTTACGAAAATGACATCCCGAAATCAATTGGCCCAATTTGGTGCTTAATGGACTTAATCATCGGTGGAGAATGGGATCAATAGACCTCATTATCGGTGGAGGATAGCCTCCGGCTGAATCCGTGATCTGTACCGTCCAAAATTGAAAGAAAATGACATTTCGGAAAAAATTGCACGAAATCTGTGATGGTACCCCTTTGGAATCTGCCAAAAATGGACCCTGAAGAAATCCGACCAAATCCGTGTTTAATGGACTTAATCATCGTCGAAGAATAGCCTCAGGCTGAATTCGTGATCCGTAGCCTTCAAAATCCATAAAAAATGGCCTTTCGAAAAATCGAGCCCAAATATTTACGAAAATGCCATCCCAAAATCAATTGGCACAATTCGGTGCTTAATGGATTTAATCATCGGTGGAGGATTGGATCGATAGATTTCATTATCGGTATAGCATAGTCTCCGATTGAATCAGTGATCTCTGTACCCTCCAAAATAGAAAGAAAATGACATTTCAGAAAAAATCGCCCGAAATCTGTGATGGTACCCCTTTGGAATCTGCCAAAAATGGACCCGGAGGAAATCCGCCCATATCCGTGTTTAATGGACTTAATCATCGTCGAAGAATAGCCTCTGGCCGAATCCGTGATCCGTAGCCTTCAAAATCCAAGGAAAATGGCCTTTCGAAAAATCTAACTCAAATATTTACGAAAATGCCATCATGAAATCAATTGGCCCAATTTGGTGCTTAATGGACTAAATCATCGGTGGAGAATAGGATCAATAGACCTCATTATCGGTGGAGGATAGCCTCCGGCTGAATCCGTGATCTGTACCCTCCAAAATCGATAGAAAATGACATTTCGGAAAAAATTGCCTGAAATCTGTGATGGTACCCCTTTGGAATCTGCCAAAAATGGACCCGGAAGAAATCCGACCAAATCCGCGTTTAATGGACTTAATCATCGTCGAAGAATAGCCTCAGGCCGAATCCGTGATCCATAGCTTTCAAAATCTAAGGAAAATGGCCTTTCGAAAAATCTAGCCCAAATATTTACGAAAACGCCATCCCAAAATCAATTGGCACAATTCGGTGCTTAATGGACTTAATCATCGGTGGAGGATAGGATCAATAGACTTCATTATCGGTGGAGGATAGCCTCCGACTCAATCCGTGATCTGTACCCTCCAAAATCGAAAGAAAATGACTTTTCGGAAAAAATTGCCCGAAATCTGTGATGACCTTTGGAATCTGCCAAAAATGGACTCGGAAGAAATCCGCCCAAATCTGTGTTTAATGGACTTAATCATCGTCGAAGAATAGCCTCAGGCCGAATCCGTGATCCGTAGCCTTTAAAATCCAAGGAAAATGGCCTTTCGAAAAATCTAGCCCAAATATTTACGAAAATGTCATCCCGAAATCAATTGGACCAATTCGGTGCTTAATGGACTTAATCATCGGTGGAGAATAGGATCAATAGACCTCATTATCGGTGGAGGATAGCCTCCGGCTGAATCCGTGATATGTACCCTCCAAAATAGAAAGAAAATGATATTTCAGAAAAAATCGCCCGAAATCTGTGATGGTACCCCTTTGGAATCTGCCAAAAGTGGACCCGGAAGAAATCCGACCAAATCCGCGTTTAATGGACTTAATCATCGTTGAAGAATAGCCTCAGGCCGAATCCGTGATCCATAGCTTTCAAAATCTAAGGAAAATGGCCTTTCGAAAAATCTAGCCCAAATATTTACGAAAATGCCATCCCAAAATCAATTGGCACAATTCGGTGCTTAATGGACTTAATCATCGGTGGAGGATAGGATCAATAGACTTCATTATCGGTGGAGGATAGCCTCCGACTGAATCCGTGATCTGTACCCTCCAAAATCGAAAGAAAATGACATTTCGGAAATAATTGCCCGAAATCTGTGATGGTACCCCTTTGGAATCTGCCAAAAATGGATCCGGAAGTAATCCGCCCAAATCCGTGTTTAATGGACTTAATCATCGTCGAAGAATAGCCTCAGGCCGAATCCGTGATCCGTAGCGTTTAAAATCCAAGGAAAATGGCCTTTCAAAAAATCTAGCCCAAATATTTACGAAAATGCCATCCCGAAATCAATTGGACCAATTCGGTGCTTAATGGACTTAATCATCGGTGGAGAATAGGATCAATAGACCTCATTATCGGTGGAGGATAGCCTCCGACTGAATCCGTGATCTGAACCCTCCAAAATCGAAAGAAAATGAAATTTCAGAAAAAATCGCCCGAAATATGTGATGGTACCCCTTTGGAATCTGCCAAAAATGAACCCGGAAGAAATCCGCCCAAATCCATATTTAATGGACTTAATCATCGTTGAAGAATAGCCTCAGGTCGAATCCGTGATCCGTAGCCTTCGAAGTCCAAGGTAAATGGCCTTTCGAAAAATCTAGCCCAAATATTTACGAAAATGTCATCCCAAAATCAATTGGCCCAATTCGGTGCTTAATGGACTTAATCATCGGTGGAAAATAGGATCAATAGACTTCATTATCGGTGGAGGACAGCCTCCGGCTGAATCCGTGATATGTACCCTCCAAAATCGAAAGAAAATGACATTTTGGAAAAATTGCACGAAATCTGTGATGGTACCCCTTTGAAATCTACCAAAAATGGACCCGGAAAAAATCCGACCAAATCCGCGTTTAATGGACTTAATCATCGTTGAAGAATAGCCTCAGGCCGAATCCGTGTTCCGTAGCCTTCAAAATCCAAGGAGAATGCTTTTTCCATCTTCTCTTCCATATGTACATGTGCTTTGATTGTCAAAGTTTGGGATTAAAATGCTATTGGTCAATCTTTGAAGGACTAGTACGAAATCGTTGGTTTTCAAGAGGATTGATATGGAATTCAACAAAAATACCCTTGAACGGATTGGGAACCAGATTGTTGGTGTTTTAAGAACTGAAAATTTCTTCGTCGTCCTCTCTTCCCTTTCGCGGAGTTGATATCATACGAGTTACGTCTGAAAGAAGATGATCTACAGAAGGTGGAGTCTGCTGACGGGTCCGACGTCGATAATCGGCGGTATCGTCGGGGCCACGATCGTCGCCAACTACCTGTTCATCGAGAATGTAAAATTCTTCCTTCCGATCCTACTTTTCCCGCTTACTTCCTTACGATTTCCAAACCCTAGATGTAGCTTTTTGAAAGTTTCCATTGGTTTGCTGCCTCCGGTAATCGTCAATTCTATCTGATTTGACGCGATGAGTTTGTCTGCCCAAATCTGTAACTCGGAGATTGTTCTAATTGTCAGCAAATACTGATTCGTTTTATTAAACCTGGGCGTGGTGCTAAGTGTTTGTGATTTTGACTGAAAGAAAGAACTTGTCTTTGCCCATCGATTGTATGGTTTAGGGCTAGGGGATTGTGCCAGTTCTAGTCTAATACCTTGGGATGGTACTGGAACTTGCAGGATTGGCTTGTTAAACGAGACCAGAAGAAACTGCCAGATTCCGCATCATCAACAACAAAATAACAAGGTGGCAGATCGTGTCCTCTGGTTTGAGCTGCTGCTGCTTCATTTTGCTTTCCTGGACTTGTTGTGAGTCTGAAGTTTTAGTTTGGGATGTAACCCTTTTGTTCGTTTTTGTTTTTTTACTGGAATGCTCTGTCGATGAATAGAGAGTAGCTTTGTTCCTCTCTAATAATTCAATTGATCGACTTGGTTGCACTGATATGGCTGTGCTTTGAGGGTGTGTTTTCATGTAGTTTCCTGATTGCAGATTCTTCAGCCGTGCGTTGCGCGCGCCTCTTAAGAACAAATGTTAAAGCTTTCAGTGAAGTTTAATCACGATGGAACAATTGTGTTCTCTTTTTGATTGATGATGTGGTAATTTGGTATTGCAAATGGATGTCTATCAATCTATGGCAAGACTTGCTCTTTGTTTCTGCTGTTATGGATGGCCAAGGTCAATAGTGCAGACTGCAGCCCTAACTTCATTCTGTATCTCAATGACCTGAAGCATCTGGGGTGAAGTCGATGGATATGAGTACTTGTAGCTTTGGGACAAACACTAATCTTAAAAACAACAGGGTACTATTTGAATAACATTATCATACTGGTGCCATTCCATTCGAATTAGAAGTTGTCGAACTGAACCAAATTATAGAACTAACGTGTATTTGATCAAGAAGCTAGTTATTTGTTCAACCGGATACACCAATACGATACGATAATAACAACTTTTCGCAACCAATATATGTGTTAGCTGCAATTTGTGGTAGTAATAGCTACGAATTCGATCTGATAGCAAAAGTTACGAGACATATTCATATATTGGTCATAATCCGGAAAGAAATTATTGTAATTTGTAACCATGTTGGTCACAATTGTCCATGTTTTAAGAGAAGGAAAGTCCTAGATTGCAAACAAGCCAATAGAGTCGTCCAATCCAGTTGGTTTATTTATTCTCTTACAAATGAAAAGGGAATCCACCCATGACCCTTTTATTATTGTCACCTGTTTCTGAAGGAATTTTAGCTCCATAAGCTAATAATATTATTATGCAGCAGCAGCAACGTTGGTTAAGGTCCATTCATTTCTAAGCTGCATAACTCTGCAAAGCTGCTGCTACTCCACGCAGTCACCTGCAATGGCAGGAATGAATAAGAATATTATCATCAGCATTCAAACAGATAAACTCAAAGGAGGGTTCCTACTCTGTTGCCTATAAAAAAGGAAGATCCCAACTTGTATCTACCAAAACACACCGAACTTTTCTAAAGGAAAACATCTACACTAGACAGGCTAAATTTTGCAAAACAAGAGCAGCAGCAACAAAGAGAAAAGATGATGGCATTCAGGGCAGCCACGATGATATCAGCAATCTTGGCTGCAATTCTGGTGATGGGTTGTGAAGCAGGTGGTGGAATTTCAATCTACTGGGGACAGAATGGGAACGAGGGCACCTTGGCCGAGACTTGCGCCACAGGCAACTATCACTATGTCAACATAGCTTTTCTGGCTGCATTTGGCAACGGGCAGCCACCGGTGATCAACCTTGCAGGTCACTGTGATCCAACCAACAGTGGCTGTGCTGGTCTAACTTCTGACATCAAGTCATGTCAAGCTAAAGGGGTCAAGGTCCTGCTGTCAATCGGTGGAGGAGCTGGAGGTTACTACCTTGCATCCAAACAAGATGCAGAGCAGGTTGCAACTTATCTCTGGGACAACTTCTTCGGTGGCTCTTCTTCTGCCAGACCGTTTGGTCCGGCTGTGCTCGATGGGGTTGACTTCGATATCGAAGGAGGAACAAACCTGCACTGGGATGATTTGGCCAGGTTTCTGAAATCCCACGACGAAAAGATCATACTAACAGCTGCTCCACAGTGCCCATTCCCTGACGCTTGGATAGGGAGTGCACTTGAGAGTGGACTGTTTGACTATGTTTGGGTTCAGTTCTACAACAACGCTCCTTGCCAGTACTCTTCTGGGAGTGTCAAAAACCTTGAAGATGCTTGGAAGCAATGGACTTCAGCCATTCCTGCAAAGAAGATCTTCCTGGGACTGCCTGCTGCTCCTGATGCAGCTGGGAGCGGATTTATCCCTGTTAACGACCTCGAATCTCAGGTGCTACCTGCAATCAAGAACAGTTCCAAGTATGGTGGTGTGATGCTGTGGTCAAAATACTATGATGATCAAACTGGCTACAGCAAATCCATTAAGAACTCGGTCTAAGTTACATGTTGAGTGCATCCCTTTTGGTCATCAACTCATATTTACTACCCTTATGTGAATAGTTTGTGAGAATGCACATTGTCTGAATGTATTTATCGAGTGTTTCCACAGTTCTATGTACAAAAAGTTTCTTGTTGTGGTATATGATCTCTTGCTCTTGGTATTGTGTGCTTGACTGATTGCTAGCCAACCGAACCAGAAGAATCTGATACCGTTCTTTCCTTCAGATCATCACTTAGGCTGCTATGTGCCGTCCGAATCAGAAAGCATCTGTTCACTGCACACATTATTATATTAATATTTATCAGCAGAAGAAAGATTCCCGTCGCCATCTCAAGTCTTTCTAGTTTTGTGTTAACAGCATTTCCAAGGCCATGATGTCTCCAACGAATTCATGCAACGCAAACTCAAAGTTGCTGACTTTCAATAACGACAAGCATTTGGAGGCGTATGAACTCCACCAAGTTCTATAAATTAACTGCTCAAAAAACTGGATTTGCTTGTTTGTTCTTGTTGAAACAAACAAATTAGTTACACAACCAGTGTTTGTCAAACTGTATGTATCGTACCCATAAGTTCTGCTGATTGAATTACATGTTAAAGCACATATTACTACGCGACGACGAATTAGTCTTACCAATTTAACCTCTGGTAAGGTTACAGTTCTGCTTTCGCTGAATGACATAACAGATGGAATACGGAGTGAACACTCTTCGACTTTACCAGGAGACACAACCAACTTGCATTGCCACACATGTGGTTTGTTGTGTTCTGCTCGTCCTTCCTCTGGGACTTCACATGTAATAGATTTAACTCGACCTGGTAAAGAAAAAACAAAGACTTGAAAAGTAAGTTTCCATTGGAGTTCATCCTCTGTGAGATATTAAAGAAATGAACTGTTTGATCTTTATGTTGTCGCTAATGGTCTTGAAACCACACTATAAAAGCTAGTAGGTCCTGGGACGGTTTAGAAACCACAGCGAAACAGCACGATTCAATAGTAGCAACAGAAAGCTATCAATTGTTCATCCTCAAAGCAAGATGGGGGCTTCCAGGGCAGCAGTCTCAACACTACCACTACTAGTGTTATCAGCAATTGTAATGGCAATGATAAAGTGTTCGGAAGCTGGAAGCATAGCAATCTACTGGGGTCAGAACGGAGGTGAAGCCGGCTTGGAAGAGACCTGTGCAACTGGTGACTATAGATTTGTAATCGTTGCTTTCCTGCCAACATTTGGCAACGGCCAAACTCCAACCATCAACCTTGCAGGCCATTGCGACCCAACAAATGGTGGCTGCAAAGGCCTCAGCTCCGAGATCAAATCATGTCAAGAGAAAGGGATTAAAGTCCTGCTCTCCCTTGGAGGTGGAGTTGGTAGTTACTCACTCACAGGTACAGACGATGCCAGGCAAGTTGCAACTTACCTTTGGGATCACTTCTTGGGGGGTCATTCCTCTGCAAGGCCACTGGGTCATGCAGTTCTTGATGGGATTGACTTCGACATTGAAGGTGGGACCACCCATTACTGGGGTGATCTAGCCAGGTTCCTGAAACATCACAGCAACGACGGCCAGAAGAAAGTGTACATAACTGGAGCTCCACAATGTCCATATCCTGATGCCTGGATTGGGAGAGCCATAAGCACGGGACTGTTTGATTATCTCTGGGTGCAATTCTACAACAACCCTCCCTGCCAGTACTCTGGTGGGAGCATTGATGGTCTTCAAAATGCTTGGGATCAATGGACTTCTTCAGGTCATGCCAAGAAGATCTTCTTGGGACTGCCTGCGGCACAGGGGGCAGCTGGCAGCGGTTTCATCCCTCCTCATGAGCTGATCTCCACTGTGCTTCCTGCAATCAAGAGTTCTCAGAAGTATGGGGGTGTTATGCTCTGGTCCAAGTTCTATGATGAACAAACTGGATATGCTAAAGCTATCAAGAAGCATGTCTGATTCATCATCGTTTCTAACTGGAACGACTTGGCTTCTTCATCCAGTTACTGACAACCAACTCATGCTAGTGTACATGTACCAATGGCAGCCTTGTTTCGACCGTCGAAGACGAGGGCTGGACTCTGAAGTTTATGTGTAATCTACTACTTTTTTTTTTTCCTTTTTGGCTTGTCCTTTTCCACTTCTCCTGGTGTTTCACTAGAAACACAATAAGGTCATGGACCATAGGTACTGTTACCCTCCAAACTCACTCGGCCAAGTCTCTGCCAGAGAGAACTTGAGGGTTTTGGAGTTTCCAGTATCACTATTTACCCAAATATGACACTCAGTAGAGGGTTAGATCAAACCCCCCACAAACTGAAAATCGGGAGCTTATTGCCCTGATTGTACCGAGCTTCGAGCATCTAGACATTGTCACATAAATAAAGATGAAATAAAAGTTGCAGAGTTACAGGACAAGTCTTTCATCTACAGGTTGTCTACCTTATCAATTATGAAACTTCTTTCTAGCTCAGATATCCCAATGAAGCACATTATGATCGCTCCATTCACAAGGCAAAATGAGTATCCAAAATAAACAGGGCAACTCAGAAAATTGCACAAAAACAGCAGGATTTCATTAATTCAGCAGCAGAGTTCAGTAAAAGAGACTCTTACAAGGAAATAAAGGACCTAATAAATAAGCAGTAACAACAGTAGTAATACAAAATCACTCAACCATTTTACATAGCATCGCGATATGCTTCAAGTTGATCGCCAGTTAACCTGCAAATCCTCCACTCAGGCAACACTTTCGCGCCCATCTCTTCATAAAACTTAATGGCGTTCACATTCCAATCAAGCACGACCCATTCGACCCTCCCGTAACCCAACTTCACGGCCTGTGCCGCCACCGCAGACAGCAGCATCCTGCCAAACCCTTTCCTCCTGTAACACTCCCTCACGAACAAATCCTCCACATAGAACCCCGGCTTCGCCAAGAAAGTGGAGTAATTGGGGAAAAACAGCACGAACCCAGCAACCACGACGTCGTTCTCGGCACCGTTGCTGCCTCTCTTGAACGATTCGGCTTCCGGGTCGACCAGGGGAAGCTCCAAGCTGACGATCCGGTCGATTGGAGCGAACCCACTGCCAGAAGGAGGTGGGGGGTTGAAGAACGGGGAGTGGGAGATTTCGAGGAGGAAGACGGTGAAGGACTGGAAAGGGGGCGAGTTGAAGAGGGTGGAGGAGAGGTCGGATTCGGTGGCGGAGCAGATGTGGGTGAGCTTCTCGAAGACGGCCATTTGGTTGATGAGCTTGTGGATGTGGGGGACGTCGGCCGGGGTGGCGAGCCGGATGCGGGAGAAGAGCGTGTGGGAGAATGGGGTGGCGGAATCGGACTGCGGCAGGTCGGTGGGTGGATTGGGAGTCGGGGTTGGCGGCGGCGGAGGTGCGGCGGCGGCCATTTTTTTTTAGCGGCGGAGTGGTGGAGTTAGGGGTTTCTAGAGCAAGCAGTGAGGGAGGAAGAAAGGGAAGGGACGAGAATGGGGTGTTGGCGTGTTGCTTTGAAGTTTGTTGCGAGGAGGGGATTTTAAAAGAGTTCATCTGGGCCGGGCTGAGTATTTTTCTGTTATTTCTTTTGTGGGTCTGAAATTGGTTTTGGGCTGGGTTTCTTCGATCCTTTCTATAAGGGTCGTCCGACTTTGTAACAGTTGTTTGATTTTGGGCTAATAATTCTGATTTATATGACCCGTGCTACTACACTTGTTTGACTCGTTTTGGACGCAGCACGGCAGCAGACCTTCTCTAACCTGCTCTGAGATAGTATCAGCGTAGTATCCGTATCACAATATCAAATTCTAAATACTAAATAGTATTTTAAATCTCATCCCAATCTCAAAATATATTCGTCTCGAGTAGATTACTTCGAGACCAGACACAAAAAATTGACCGAAAAGTCGCTTTGGCAAGGGTGCCTAAGAAGAAAAGCTTGAAAAGGCCATAACAAGAAATGAAATATGATAATATCAATCCCTAATTTTTTCCGGTATCAATATATACCAAATATAAAATTAATTCCCTTCAAAAGTATCAATCAAATAAATAAAATATATACTTCTCATATGCCAGTAGATCAACAAATCATTTTCGAAAAATATAAAAACAAACACCAACAACGGTACCCGTGCAAAACAAGTGGAGGAAATATCAAGTATAATAACAACAAACTATGAAAATGTGGTGTGTAAGAAACACATTAACATACTAAAACACCAGACGAATGCAGGGTACGACTAAGAAACACATTTAGTGGTCTTTTTTGACTGTTGAGGGTCTGGCAGCAGTGAGTGTTGGAGTCTAATTGGGAGGAATAAAATACACACTAGCTTATATTTCGATATAAACTTATTCCAATTCTATAATCCCTAATACCAAAAACAATGTTTTTTAAATTCAATCTCGATCAAAATCACATGAAAGAATACGTGTATTCAGCAATTTTAAATATCAACAAATTCAACATGGTATTCTGTATATCCAAATACCGGTACCACACTTCGAGTCCTAGGTAAGATGTGGTGGACATGAGTTATTTATTTATTTAATGTGATTTTTCTCATTCTTAATTAAGTGATAACCTCATTTCTCAAATAATTTAGCTTCATACATTCAAACTTCCGCTCTTACTATTAATATTCTCCAAACTCCCACTACGCAAATGAACCTCAGCTCAGCAGCTAAGGCTATAAGACAAATCCAAAAATTACATCTCCGATCGGTACCCATGCCAGTCGGCGGCGGCCACCGCCTCCTCGGCCTCCCCGCCCTCACCATCGCCGTCGTCGGCGTCATAACCGCCACCGCCGGCCTCCTCGTCTACCGCCTCCTAGCCTACCTATGGTGCCACTACAACGCCGCCACGCGCGGGGGAGCCGCCGTTGACGACGCGCCAAGCCATACGCCGCCGCTTGTCCCGCTCCGCACGGTCATGAACTTCAGCAGCGACGCCAGCCTGGTGGAGCAGTTCTCGTCGGTGGACCACCTCATCCCCACGTGCCAGTACAGCGACGACGTCGGCACGTGCGCCAAGACGGAGGATTACGGCACGTGCGCGGTCTGCCTGGCCCAGTTCGCCGTCGGGGAGCCCGTCCGTGTGCTGCCGGAGTGCTTGCATATTTTCCACGCCGGATGTATCGACACGTGGCTGTTCCAGCACTCCGACTGCCCCGTCTGCCGGACCGACACCGGCGTGCGCGGTATTGGTTGATCAAGTATATAGGAGATTGATGAGTTAATGAAGTCCGGTCCGGCAGAACTTGGCGGCGCCGTCAACTTATCACCTAGCCGGCCAGCAAAGTATATATTTGATTGGTTAAGTTACGCGGCTTAGAATAATTGCTAATTATTAGTGGTTTTTACTGATTAATAATTTGCAGAGGAAAATCAATTGATTCCGGCCGGCTTGTTTCTGTTTTTTAAAATTTTCTGTGAAAGAGAAGGGCCGGCTTCGTTTTGGTTTCACATACATATAAACTTTCTTTAATTATCAATCATGATTGTGTGTATTAGATAAATCATTCATCTACCGAAGGAAAGGAACTTACCAAGCAAGCAAGCAAACCTAGAAGGGGCGATCCAAGATACAATCATGATTGCGGTTAGGAAATATGATGGCTATTGGATAGTGTAAAGAAGAAACAACATTTTTTCATTCGAAAAATATGATGCGGGTCATTCGGCTAACTCACAATCCATCCACCACCCGCTCGAATAAGTTTTGGGTAGGATATATATCAATCCACAATCCACCCAAATTAATCACCCATCCAACCGCAACTTATTAGGTTATTTACAAATGCATCGACATCAAAATGCAGAGTAACCACCCACCTGTCCTTCCCTGCCACTAGGAATGGCAATGGGGAAGGTCCGGGGCGGGTATCACCATACCCATACCTGCCCCCGTGGCAGGTCGGGTACAGGTCGAGCAGTTTATCATGGGTTGCGGATAGAGACAGGTCGACCCAATGAGTATGCAATTTATATGGAAAACATTAGAAATATTCATTATTTTCATTATAAGACCAAGAAAATAAACCATATTATGATAGATGTAGTTAAATTATTGGAGCAATTAAAGTTTTCACTAATTTATAATTTTATTATAGCTAAAATATGATGTAATAAAAAAAATACTAATTTTATTATAGCTAAAATATGATGTAATAAAAAAAAATACTAAGTAATTTGACTAAGATTACATGTAATTTAGACAAGAACGAGTCGAGAATTGAACAGGCCAGGGCAGGTCGTCGGGTCGATGAGAGTACCCATGTCCACTCTATCCGGCCTACAATACGGATCAAAACCGCCCAAAACAGACCAAACAGGTCGGATAAAATGAGTCAAAATTGACATCCCTCCTGCCACCTAATGCTCATCCCTATGCGAACTAACATTTCCTGAACTGAATCGGATGGCCCACAACCCATATCGACCACAGACGAAAACTAATCCGAGCCAGTAAAAGTTACAAACATGTTAAAACCAATCTTTGACGTTTACACTTGATACAAATCTCCATTGCATTATCCCTAAAGGGATCAGGAGGTTGCGCCAATGGGGATCACAAATATTCAAGTTGTTACCATTACTGGTTGTCCTCAGGAGATCATAATTCCAAGTTGGAGTAGAGGCATTCAGCTGAAGAAAAACACACTAACCCACATAACCACAGCGCTCGGGTCCAGATTTTGGCATCCATCATCCTCTTCAAAGCGGCTGAACCTTCACGAGAACCCTCAACACTGTAAACAGGAAGCTACAACTTGAATTATGAAGCAATTGTGCCATTATTAACAAACAAGTGAAGGGAGTGAGAACAAACTGGAGTCCAACAAGAACTCGGCAGGGTTTCATTTCTAAACTGTGGAGAAGCGACAGCGCTTCATTCTCACTATACCACTCATATAACTCGAATAGTAAAACCACGCTGCAAGTTCCCAAACGAGGTATAATAGGTTAGTGTTTTACTGTGATATTCATGTATGGTTGATTGGACAGAGGATAGAGTCAGTAACCAATGGTTACTGACCTGTCAGTATTAAATCCGGACCGTAGATTTAGGAATGACATTATTATATGGATGGGCTGCACGCAGAGTGAGGAGGGGCATTTTTGTCCGATTTTTGAAATTTGATTTCTTTCCTTTTTTTATTTTTTTCATAATTTATATGTTTGTCTTTTAATGGAGGAAAGAGAAAAGAGAAAAGCAGACTTCTCTCTTCCTCTTCCTTTCTTTCTTCCAAACTCATTTTTCCATATCTAAATCTCCTTTCTTCCTTGTTCTTCGTTTTTTTCTCCAATAATCGATGAAGAAATTGCATCCTCCCACCTCAAATTCGGTGACGCTCAAAATCCTTCTTCTCTCAAGCTGTTCCTTCCTTCTGTTTTTTTCTTTTCTCGGCCTCAAAATCGATTATGCTCCATATTGTCAAAGAGGGGACAGATCTAAGTGAGTTGAGTTGGCATCTTTTGTGTTTTAGTATTTGTTTGTGAATTAATTCCGATCTTCTTCCTCTTTTTCTTTCTTTTTGCATTTGGTGTTCTTGATTGCGGAGTAAATGAGAGGAGACAGAAGACGAATTTTTTTTCTCTCTTCCTCCTTCTGTTTCCCCTTCTTTGAGAATATATATTGATATTACCATACTATACCATATGATAATGTGTGCTAACTAAATGTATTTTTATAGTCACGAGTTTTATCATGTGGGTAGTAATCGACACCAGTTCCGAGAAAGAAGAGTTAGAAGACAATGAAAGGAGAGAAGAAAGTGAAGAAAGTCGTAATTATATATATTGAGATTACCACACTATACCATATGGTAATGTGTCTATACCATATGGCAATGTGTCTATGCCATATGACAATGTGTGGTAACGAAATGTATTTTTATGAATATCATGTTTTTACTATGGTCGTAGAGGGTTGTAATTAGATTTACATGGTTTGACCTTCTCATACCATGTGGTATTATATGGTAATTATAATTAATTTGTGGTCCTTTGATTTACCATGTTCTACTATGGTGGTATTGTATGCTAGTTAGATTTATAATTTTCTGTGGGTGGTTTACCAAGTTATACCATGTGGTGGTAGTTTGATTTGTAATTTTATTTTAGCATGTTACCATATGGTAACATATGGTAATTAGATTTGTAAATTTCTGTAGCATGTTTTACCACGTTATACCATGTGGTATTGTATGGTAGTTAGATTTTTAATTTTCTTCAACATGTTTTACCACGTTTTACCACGTTTTACCATGTGGTATTGTATGGTAGTTAGAATTGTAATTTTTTTCAACATATTTTACCTTTTTTCAACATATTTTACCATGTTTTACCATGATTGTAGAAAGTGATAATCTTTAACAATGTATTATTTAACGAAAAAATCATCATTCAATTTGAGCTGGAATTAGTTTAGAGATAATTAGGATGGTTAGATTCATTTTTGTTATAGATGGGAGAGAGAAGAAATAATATATTTTTGATTGCCTTACCCGTTGTTTTTGTGACTTTGTTTTTTTGGTAGTATTTGCAGCATGGCATGTATAAGATAAATCATTCATCTATGAAAGGAAAGGAACTTACCAAGCAAGCAACCTATAAGGGGTGATCCAAGTTAACCTCAGCCATCACCTCTTGCGCTTTAACGTCTTGATTTGTTTCATGATGTAGCCAATAACCTCTTTCAGCGTGGCTTTCCGTTTTTCTTTGTAGTTCCAGAGCTCACGAATAATATACCTCCCACTCGGATTATATTCATTCAATTCCTTCAGGGCAGTAACCACAGCTAGGTATATCTCCTCACCATGCTCCTGCCGAAGACCTTTCAGTTTCTCGTCTTCATCATTTATAATACCCTGCAGCAGATAGCTAGTAGTTATGCTTGCAAACTTCGCATGATCGCAAAGCTTCATGACACAAAGTAACAAGTGACAAAAGGAGATATTCTCACCTTCTCAGTCCCGTCGGCAATAATGACTTTAAAGGGATACCATTCAGAATCTTTCAAATTCTCCTGCCAGGAGCTGCATAGTGTTACAGCAATGACCTCAGCATCCGCAGGTGGGTGTTTCTTTCTGCATGCATTGAGGAACACCTTTTGATCCAGTTCACCCATCATCTTTATCCCAATGGTGGTGCGAGCAGTATCAGATAATGTATCACACAGCCCCTACAAAGTCAATTAGCAAATAACGGCATTCACCAATCCAAACAATTAACCGTTCAACAACATGATGGGAATTAATTAACAGTGGGCAGCATGGAAAATGAGGCAGTAAGTAGCTGACTACAGTCTTCAATTCATAACTCATCAGTTTCTACTCCTTTCCCCCCTCCTTTACCTTTCCATTTCTTTTTTTTCAAGGTAAAAAAACTGTAACTATCCCCGCCAACAACAAAAAAAATACAGAAACTCAATATCAACAGGGAAATAGAGCCACAAAGACAGTGTGCAGTGTGCATTAATATCTGCAACATCATAGGACAAAATCTTTGGGGCAGAGAAACAGACCTCGATCAGCAGTTTACGAGCTTCTTGCAGCTCATCATTGCTTTGACGTTCTTTCACAATGAGAGTTTGATTAAGTGTCTCTACACTATTCAGATCCTCTATTTTCTGCTCCAACTCATCATGATACTCTTTCATGGTTTTCTTAACAGCTGCATCATCCTGATCCTCAAGATGCTTCATCACGTTTAGTTTCCCCTTTAGCTCCTGAATTTCCATTTCAAGCTTCTGTTTTGCATCAAGTTGCTTCTCCAACTGAATGATCTTATTTAAGGCCTCCTCTTTTTCCCTCTGAACATTTGTAAACCACCATGAGAAAAAGTAATAAGTGTAACAAGTGGCGGATACCCATAAGCCAGTCCACAATTTGAGGAATTACCTTTTGTTCTTCAACCAGTCTTAGAACATTCTCATCAGCCTTCTTCTGCTCCATGGATGCCAAATTGAGCGAGTTGTTCACTACGTCATTCTAAAACACCAATAAAAATGTTAATACTGAGCATTTAAGCATCATCCGCGGGGGAGATTCAAAAACCAGCTTTTACTGCTTCACAATTTGTTACAAACTGTTACCTTCCTCATGTCCTCATCAAGCCTTTGCCTCTCACGGTCTGTCAATGCTTCTCGCTTATTCAGTTCTTTAGTCCAGTTATCAATTTTCTTTTTCTTCAACTCCAGTTCATTGTTCATTCTTTCCTGCTCAGCCAAGATTCTGTGAACATTGTCTCGTGCAACCCGCTGCATCTTCCTTGTTTCTGTTTACCAATTAAAAGCAAAATCTTGAACCAACATCATTGATGACCATAAAAACAAAGGTGATGTAAGAAGCAGAACAACTCAACGATGCAACGCCATAATCAGTTCCTGCATTCTCAGCAGTGAAGCATAAATAACAGTAGAACAACAACAAAAAACTGCACCAAGTTACTGAATTCAGTTTGCATTCCTTGGTTTCATTAAACACCTAACAGTGAAGTTTCCAGTTCAATATAGTAATGTGAAAGGGAAGGGAGCATAACTTCGAAAGAGAAGGAAACGAACCTTCAACAAAAGCATTATGCAACTTGTCTTTCTCTTCAAGTGTTCTGCTTAGTGTCATTGCATTCTTATTGTACATACTCTGCAATTTATCAAGATCTTGATTGGTCTTGGCAATTTCATCTGTCAGCCCAGCTACCACTGTATTTCTGTTTTGATTTGTTTCTTGAACAATCCCAGAGATTGTAGTCAGCTTGGCTTCTTTGCGGAGATACTCCCCTACTGGTCCATCCGAATTATAGTCATCACTACGTGCACACCAGGCATAGAAACTTGACCCCGGATCGTTTTCTCGTGCCTTCCAATCCTTCTTACCACGACGCTGACTTTCAAACGCCTTCTCAAAATCTGTTGCTTTGGTGAATCCATTCCAATCACTGTCGAAATGCAGGACAGCTTGACTGGCCTGATGATTGTCATTCCACAGCACCTGCACTTTTGCAGGTTTGTACTTAGCAAAACTTCTTGACCAGTACTCGCTGTCGTCTTGCACTTGAGAATCCGCTGATCTTGCAGCAGATATGTTCACCACAATTCCCATCCACGGCCACGCAAACTTATCCTCTTGGTCCGAAGACTGATTGGTGGGTTGAGGTAAAGGTCGAGTTAGCGTCTCATCTGCTAGATCAGCTAGATCGATTTCCAAGTACTTTGCCAATGCAAGATGGTTAGCTTTCTGCTTCCCGCTTCTACTGGCAGCACCCTTGCCCACTCCGGTTGCGTGTTGGAGCAAGTCCTTGTACTTGTATCCTTGCTTTTTCTTCCCAGCACAGAAGGGACATTTCAAAGCCCCATTGACCTGTACTTTGTAATGCTGAGATCGTAGCTGCTCATATGGTTTGTCCACATGATCATTGATCTCGGATTCGCTGATATCCGACTCTTCCTCAGGAGAATGATCCATCACTTAACTGTTACCTAAGTCCAAAAACAAAATTACACACCTGAACTCCGGTTGGTGAAAAAAGAAATGCACAAAATCAACGAGCAACAAAAACCAATATCAAACACAAATCACATTAACAGCCCCTTGAGAGAAACCCCCCACAAAACCCTACAAGCGAAAGATGAACCCTAAATTCCCTCTCTGACATGCATGCATTTTAATCATATACTCTTGTGTCACAACATAATTCGATTAGTTAACTCGTGGAACCTGGCAGAGCAAAACTAACCCATCTGCTAGTGAAATCTAAACATTCGCAATTGCAATACAAATTGGTCGTGGGACATAAAGAAAGAACTCCCGCATTGTTTCTTATACAGCAAACAGATGGAGAGAACGGCTCCTATATTTATTCAGGCACCGGAATTCGGACAGGGAGAAGGAGGAAGAGGATTACCTGAGAGTGGAACGGTGAAAGATGGAATGAGGGTTTTCTTTTATGGGTCTCCTTCTGAAGCCTTGACTACTCAGTACTCTCTTCTCCTTTCCCTCCCCTCTCTCGTCGTCGCTCTTTCTGCAGCTGAGAGTAAAGCGAGAAAAAAGGGGAAATGAGGAGTTACAGAGAGAGCTAATTGCATACTGATGACTGGCAGACGGGGAGCGTGACGCTCCTGTATTGTTTTTTTTTTTTTTTTTTTGGTGAAAGTGACGATGCTGTTTGTTCGTTTCTCAATGAGAGCGAGAGTTGCTTAAAAAAATAAAAAGCTAGAGCGAGCAACGTTGTCAATTCGATTTAGTCAGTTGGAGTTAATGATACAATTTTGATTTAGTCTAAAAATATGGGGAAAAAATCATTACAAAATTTGGAATATCTGGTTCGACCTGCACAATGACAATGTGAATGGTTGGTTTGGGTGAGTACGGATGGCAATGGGTCGGGTCGGAGACGGATAGTGCATATTAGTAGTTCGGGTTTTACTCATACTCATACCCACATAAGAAATGGGCAGAAAATCCAAACCATGCCCATATCTGTTCGGGTATCCACGGTTATCCATGGGTAATAGTGTTTCTTTATAACTCCAACCAATATGTTAATATTTACACGTATTCTCACTTTACGTAAGATGAAAAGTACGACAATAATTCACTAGAATGAAAAAAATTAATTAAAACAACACAATTTCATAAAAAAAATATTTATATGCTAAATATAAAATAAGTTAGTGAAAAATATTGATTATTTCTAGACAACAAAATACATATGCATGTGTATAATCGGACGTGTTCAGGGTTGGATAGTGAGAAAACTATGTCCACCCATTACCCGCGATATTCGGGTTCGGGTTTTACCCGTACCCACTAAAAGTCCTTCGGGTTTGGGTTTTACCCTAACCGATTAGGTTGGATAAGGCGGATATCCACGGTTACAGATATTTTTGTCATCCCTAGTACAATTCTACATGTTTTGTATCTGTTGGGTGTGGTATTAATCCATCTAATGCGACAAACAACTACGTCATTACGGACACAAGCCCATCGTAAGACGTCTCGCCTCGGGCACAAACCCACTAAGAGATGCCAAGGGCCTCCAACCAAAGGATCCTCTTCCCTTTCCATCCTATTCAGCTCGTTCCGCGACGGGGAATTAGGTGTACTAATTACCCAGTGTCGCCGATTCCAGTAACAGGGGTTCTCCAGATACGAGCCGCAGTGACGGCGGGATGCCGCAATTAGGTATCAGATCGGTCATCCGTTCGCGGCACTGCCTCGTATTGCGCACGACAGACTATCAGCCGGCCGCCTCCAGGATAAAACAGTCATTCTAATTTTGTTGCTCATCGGTTTTGTGCAAAAACCGGAGCTCTATGAATTCACTCTCTCTCCTGTTTCTGCTCTTCTCATGTGTATTTAGAGGGTCTGAGTAGTCTCCTATTTATAGGAACAGAAACCCAGAATATTTCCTCTTTCTTTGGGAATAAGTCACATTTTAATTAGGGAGATAATTACTCCCATAATTAAAATAAAATCTATTAAGATAATTATTCCTAATTATCTCCATAATATTCCTTTTATTAATTATCCATCTTAATTTCGTATTATGAAAAAATACTGGATAATTAATTAGAAATTTCATTATAGCTTTTCAAAGCTATTCATCCAACCGTTAATATAACATTCTTGCATGGAGGGTGAAAAGGCAAGACTCAAGTGGCAGCTGCAAGATTTAATAACCCTGACAACCCTTCCATAGTGATGAAGAAAGTAAGGATGTAGGATGTCTCTTTGCCTGACTCCCTACTTGGTATCAACAAAATCATGCATCCCCCAATTTATGTTAGAGCTAAACCTAACAGTTCTAACACACTCCATAATCTTTTTTTTAGAAATAATCAGATTTCATAGAAATCACAGATCGGCCTCAGCGGCAATTACATCGGCCAAAAGGCTAGGAATACAATCTTGCCAAATCTCACTTCTAATGATGTTAAAAGGAAAGAAATGTGCTAATAAGTGTGCAGCCCCATTTGCTTCCCTATAGACAAAACTCCACTCAGCTACATTTACCTCCAAACCGATCGAAACAACGTTTCTGCAGATGCTATCCACCTCAGTTCTGCTGTTCTCTTTCCCCTTCAGACAGTTGATCAATCTTTGGCAATCTGACTCAACCTGAATGCCTCTAAGCCCTTTTTCTTTTGCTTCCTTTAGACCAAACTGCGTCGCCATACCTTCTGCAATCTCAGAGGACCAGTTAGCTTTCAAGGTTCTGCTTCCAGCCAGCATTACCTTGCCATTCCAGTCTCTAATGATAAAACCCAATCCCACCTCTCCTTTACCACTACATCCAGCATCAGTATTCAGTTTGAACATTCCTTCCTGTGGCTTCTCCCACCTGCAATTCCTCCTGTTCACTTCTCTTCTTCTGTTATTATCTTTTCCTTGGACAGCAATGTAGTCTTGTATAAAGTCATCAGCCTTTGTAAACACTTCCCATTCCTGTAGCATTTTGCTGTTGAACAAGCAGTTATTTCTTTCTTTCCAGAAAAACCATAACAAAGAGCAGAATCTTTCAATCTCCCCTTCTTTTGCTTCCTTAATCACCTTGAAAATCCATTCTTTACAGGAAAGAGAGTCATCCATATAGAACAGGTTTGCAATAGGGGTTTTTGGCCAGATTCTCCCCACCCAGCTGCAATTCACAAGACAGTGTTTTAAAGTTTCCTTCATTCCACAGTTTGGGCATTCCTCCCCTCTTCTGTTGCTCTTCTTCCTAATCTTAACACCAACTGGAACAATGTTATGGGCCACTTTCCACAAGAAGACCTTGATCTTCCCTGGGATATTTAACCCCCATAGCTTTTTCCATCCATCATTCATTTCCTGCTCAGTACCACTTCCTGCCAAAACCTCCCCTATCCTGTTCATTTCCATATCATATCCTGACCGGACTGTGTACTTTCCATTCTCCGTGCCTGTCCAACATAAGGAATCCTTAACAATCTCAGAAGTTAAAGGAATATCCAAAATAGCCTGCTGCTCTTCCTGCGAGAACATAATCTCAATCAAATCTCTCCTCCAGGTTCTGGTTTCTTGGTCAATTAGGCAGGAGACCTTGGAGTCCCAATCCAGGAAAGGGCAATAAGAAAAGACTTGGAAATTGTCAAGCCCTGGGACCCATTTATCTTTCCAAATATACACCTCTTCACCCGAGCCAATCCTCCATCTGCAACCTGATTTTAACAAATCCTGAGCTCCCATCAGACTCCTCCAAACATAGCTAGGTCTCCAGCCAATTTTTGCTTCCAAGATGTTGCACTTCGGATGGTACTTTGCCTTTAACAGTCTTGCAACCAGAGACTGAGGGTTAAGACTCAAGTTCCATAGCTGTTTTGCTAAGATGGTTGTGTTAAAAACTTTAAGGTTCCTGAATCCCATGCCTCCTTGATTCTTCTTTTTACACAATTTTTCCCATCTCCTCCAGTGAATTCTTCTTTCATTCCCTTTCTGCCCCCACCAGAAATTAGCAATCAAGCTATGAATATCATCTAAAATACCATCAGGGATCCTAAACACAGACATAGCATAAGTTGTTTGGGCCTGAGCAATACTCTTAATCAGAATTTCTTTCCCTGCTTCTGAGAAGAACTTGTTTTTCCAGTTCATGAGTTTGTTTCTCACCCTGTCTCTGAGGTTGCTGAACACCAGCTTCTTCGATCTCCCCACCATTGTAGGTAGGCCGAGGTATTTTGCTAATTTGTCAACTTCCTTGATGTTTAGCTCCTGGCATATTTCTTGTCTTCTGTTACTCAACGTGTTCTTACTGAAGTAGATTTCTGACTTATCCAGATTCACCATTTGTCCAGACTCTTTCTCATAGTCTTCTAGCATTTCTTTCAATATCTTTGCTTCTTCCACTGTGGCCCTAGCAAATATTATGCAGTCGTCTGCAAACAGCAAATGGGAAACAACTGGAGCTTTATTGCAGATTTTCAGACCATGGATTTTCCTCTCCTTCTCGTTCTTGTTGATCAGAGCTGATAAGCCTTCAGCACAGAGCAGAAAGAGATATGGGGAGAGAGGATCCCCTTGCCTCAGCCCCCTTCCTGGATTGAAGAAACTCGATTTGTGACCGTTGACCAAAACTGCATAAGATACAGAAGAAACACAGTTCATAACAAGCTTGATCCATTTGTCATCAAAACCCAATTTTGCCATAACTCTTTCAAGAAAGATCCATTCAACACGGTCGTATGCCTTAGCCATATCCAGTTTAAGAGCCAGGGAACCCCTATCACCTTTATTTTTGTTCTTCATGGTAGAGAAGCATTCAAAGGCAGCTATCACATTGTCTGTGATTGATCTTCCAGGGACAAAGGCACTCTGTGCTTCACATATAAGGTCATTCAACACTTCTTTCAGCCTGTTAGCAATGGTCTTTGAAAGAATTTTATACAGAACAGAACACAAACTAATCTGTCTGTACTCTTTGGGGGAAGTAGGATTTTTTACCTTTGGAATTAGCGCAATAAGAGTTCTATTGAGATCAGCAGGCAAGCTTCCTCCATTGAGAAATTCCATCAGTTCCTCAGTTAATTTAGGTGCAATTGTGCTCCAATTCTTTTGGAAGAAGAGGGCTGGAAAACCATCATCCCCTGGAGCTTTGGTGGCTCCCATTTGAAACAGAGCAGCTTTAATTTCTTCCGTAGTAAAAGGCCTGAGCAGTTTGTGATTCATCTCATCAGTTACCTTCTTCTCAATCACATCTATAACTTTCCAGCAATTCTGATCTGCTTTACTTTCGAAGAGCTTTGAGTAGTATTGAAATAAGCACTCTGTTACTTCTTCTTGGCCCTTAAAGACTCTCCCCTGTTCATCCTGGAGCTTTTTAATGGTATTCCTCTTTCTTCTTTCAGAAGCTTTGGCATGAAAAGCTTTGGTGTTCTTCTCCCCTTCCTTGAGCCACTCCATCCTGGATCTCTGTTTCCATCTCTGCTCATTCTTATACAGTAGGTCCTGTAGTTCCAATTCCAGCTTCCTTTTCTTTTCTCTCCAACTGCTATTCTTATTTTGTGCTTTCATTCCTTGTATGCTTCTTCTGATCTGAGCAATCCTTCTCGGAATTTCCCCAAATTTCGCTTCACTCCAGGTTTTCAGCCTTCTTTCACAGCTCTTTAGACTTTGATCCAGAGTTCCCCAATTTGCTTCCTCCCAAGCTTCTTTGATTACCTCCATGCTCTCTTCATCTTTTGCCCAGAAAGATTCAAACCTGAAGCACTTTCCCCATCTTATCTCCTCTTCTTTCTCCCCAATAGGATCAATCAGGATTGGCAAGTGATCAGAGACCACTCCTTCCAAATGGAGGACCATAGCGTTCTGAAACATATCCATCCACTTTCCATTTGCTACTGCCCTGTCCAATCTTTCCTCAATGAGATTCTGGCCACTTTTCCTGTTTTCCCAAGTGAATGGGTAGCCAACAAATCCAAGGTCTTTCAAACCGCAATCCATCAATGCATTATTGAACCCCATTAGCCGTGCTTCACTTACCAGGTTTCCTCCTTCTTTTTCCGCATTTGAGCAGATTTGGTTGAAATCCCCTGCACAAAGCCATGGGAGATCCCTACCATCATGAAGCTTTCTCAATAACTCCCAGGTCTGGGAGTGATTCTCCTTCTCCGGCCATCCATATATACCGGTGAATCGCCATTGAACTCTGCCTCTTTCATCTTTAATTACTGCATCCATGTAATTCCTTGTTGCGTCTTTGATTTCCAAATTGACTTCCTCTTTCCAAAACATACACAGACCACCCGATTTTCCTTCCACCGGAACTCCATTTCCTTTTTGAAATCCCAGCTCCTTCATTGCTTTCTCCCAACCAGCCTTCTTTAGTTTTGTTTCTGAAAGGAAAACTATTTGGGGTTTTTGGAATCTGATCATCGATCCCAGAACTGCAACTGCCTTGGGATCCCCTAACCCTTGGCAGTTGAGACATAGGAGACTCATTTTTGCAGGCGGCCCTGTTCCTTGACAGGGTCCGCCTCTGGTAATCGTTGTTTGTACATTCCTTCCTCCTCCTTTGACCTCTTTCCTTCATGCTTGTAACCCACCTTCCCTTCCTCATCAATATCCATGTCATCTTCTTCACTGATTCTCTTTTTCCCCACTTTGACGATCTCCGCCGATTCCCCTGTTCCCCTTTCTCTGTTCTTTTTCCTTATCCACTTTTTCTGAACTGTTTGGTAGAGTGCTTTTCCGTCTTTGTCTCCTGCTCCATTTTCTATGTTTGTTTCTTCTATTTGGCAATGAGAATTTTGCAGCTCTAGGCCCACAAAAACTTGGGCTAAGGGTTCTGTAATAGACCCATTTTCACACATTTCTGGCCCACCTTCTCTCGTTCTTTCCTGCTCTTTTGGATCTGCCTCCTTATCATTATTCTGCAGCAATTCCAATAATTCGCTCCGGCTTCCTTGCCCTCCCCCATCTTTGTCTTTACTTTCCACTATTTGGGAGAACGAGGTCTCATTTATTATATCAAATAGCTTTTTCTTTGCTGGCTTCGGAGCCCGATGTGTCGTTTCTTCTACCAACCCAGAGCTTTTCGGCTCCCCGGAATCCTCGCCTGAGATTTTCAGTTTTGCCGCCGACCAGATCTTTTCCACCTTTGCTGCCTCCAGTCTGTTTCTTTTATCGTACTTTTTAATCGGGGACGTAGCTCGCATCCAGCTACCGTATTGAATTTCATCTTCTGGCACCAATTCTTCCAAGCAATCCTTCTTCAGGTATCCTAGCATTCCACAGTTATAACAGAAATTTGGAAGCTTTTCATAAGCCGCCGCATACCATTGCTTCCGATTATCGACTTCCAGTAACACCCCTCTTCTTAGTGGTTTTGTAACCTGCAGGGTGACTCTTAACCTCATATAGTCATATAGTTGCTCCAAAGCCCTGAATTTGCAGTATCGTAGACCTTCAAGGCTCCAAACATTGCCCCGATTTTTGTAGCCATGCTCTCTGTTCTCAGTTTTGCTGGAATTTTCCTGATCCTCACCCATATCTCTGTGCAACTGAAATCCGTATCTGTCAGTTCTTTACCCCTGTCGACCGGTCTGATGATGATTAGCTGATTCTCAAAATGCCATGGTCCCCCAAAGAGTGCTTTTGCCCTGTCTTCTGCTTGTATGAATTGGAAAACTAGCAGGTTTCCTTCCATAACTTGAACATCGAAATCTTGTTTCGGCTTCCAGGCCGCTACCAACGCAGTTTTCAGGAACTTTGTTCCCGGTTTTCTTGTTCCCAGCAGCCGCCCCACCGCTCCTAATTCTTCCACAACAGAGTCAGCCATGTTGTCCACATCATTTTCTTCCACTTTGATAGAATTAATTTCTTCTTCTGACAGACTAATATTCCTCATCTGCTGCTCCAGTTCCTTTGCCATTTCCCCAGAACGAAAACCACCAACACAGCGACACCCGAGAGAACACGACCACACAAGGCCCACAAAGACAAGAAAAACGGGAAAGAGAGGATTGGACAAGAGAAGTGAAGATTCAAAAGAGGACAAGCTTGAATCAGGACACGAGAAAGAGAGGACAGAAAACTCCACTAATCCGGGAGATGAAAAGACAGCAGCACGCACAGTCGCTCTACAAGAAAGAGAGAGAAGCTCTCATAGAGAGAGAAAGAATCGTGGAAACGAATTACTTGTATTTCCATTCCAAAACACACTCCATAATCCAATTGGTAAAAGTCCTAGGGAAACCCATTATTTCCATCACAGTGAAGAGATGCTTTCAATGAAAGGAGTTAAAATCCTTCATTAGGTCTACTTTTATTGCACATTTGGAGGAGAGCTTATTTCTACTATAACCATTTGTCAGTTCCTAAGCGAGTATGATATTGTCAACAATTCTTCTACCCTTCACAAATGTAGACGTGTTTGGGCTAATTACTTGGGGCAAGACAAGGCTAGGTCTGTTTGCTAGGATTTTTGCAACTATTCTGTAGAGTTGGTTTACACAGGAAATAGGCCTAAAATTCTTAAAGAAGCAAAGATATGGGAACTTTAGGTATCAGGGTGGCAACAATAACATTAATACCTGACAACATTTTTGTGTTCTGGAAGAAATCCAAGCAGTGATATCAGCTCCTACTATATATACAGTGGCTTGCACCCCCCTTGGGTTTGGAGAATTTTTTTCTGAGTAGGGGTATATACAAATTCGAACCAATGACCATTCAGTTGCAGGAAGAATTTCTTATCATTTCGATCGAGTGAGTTTTGTTATGCAATGCACTTTCGTCTTTATTTATAGTAATAAATTGTTGTCTTTTGTTTAAACTCGCTCATTTTTTTTGTAGCTCTACAACAGAGAAATTTCTTGTCTTTTGTTTAAACAAAGTTGAAAGTGAAGAAGTACCAATTGAAGTTCACTTGTTTGTTTCACAAAATCAATTCCAAGGTACTTCTGAGTCTAATTTGTAATATTTGATGAATGGAAGTCTTGATTTGTATGTACTGAACTTATTTGTTTGACGTTGTAACCGGTGTACGTGAAACTATTTTAATGTAATTGTATGAATTTAGAGTATTGCGTTGTTGACTTTTTGTTTAATTTAAAGTTGACTTTTCTATTGTATAGGTGATTTTTTATGATATGATAAAGACACCCCCTTGGCCAATTTTCTGGCTCCACCACTGTATATATATCCTACTATATCTATATATAATGTTCTCTTGAAGATGAGTTCTCCGCTAGCTTCTTCATTGAAGAAATTAGCGAATAACTCATCAGGGTCTACAGCCTTGTGAGAATCCATATCAAAGAAAGTCTTCCTAATATCTTCCTCCCTAAACCCTGCATAATGATAATTCTTATGCTCATCACCAAGTTTCAACTTGATAATCTCCTTCAATCTTGCTCTTCTACAATTAATCTCACTATTAGTTGTTCCAAACCGTTTTTTATAGTACCCCACTACTTCCTCCACTATCTCATCAGTAGAAGTCAAGTAATGACCACCTTTGGTTATCAACTTTCTGCTTAAAGCCTTAAACTGCTTGGTGGTAAAATGTAGTGCTCTTATCTCCCAAATTAAGCCAGGATATCCTCGATTTTTGTCTATTAAAAGCTCTCTTTAGCTTTATGTAACTCATTGTACTTCTTCTAAACTTCTATTGCCTTTTCGAAACTACTTTCGAAGGGATTATTACAGTTTTGTTAAGATGTTCCAAACCCTTCTTTACCTCTTTTAATTTACTTTGTACAACTACCCTTGGAGATCCAGTATCTTCAATACACCAGACTCTCATAACATGCTCCATGAATTCAGGACGCCCAATCCAAAACTAAAAAAAAAAAAAAAATAGAAACATATTTGGGTATTTCAGGCATATTTAGGCATTTCTCTTTAATGGTTTATTTTTCCTTTTCTCTATTTTAGCGATCCTTAATTTCCTCGACACCGTTGTAAAACAAGGTGAAGAACAACCTCATATATCTTGCTCAGTTTCCTTCCCCATATATAACGAACCGATTTTGCCTCCACATTGTCAGGTTAAGAACCTGTTTACAGAAACGCGATGATAGTCAATAATAATATTAGTGCATCGATTAGGGCAACAATGGTGACGATGTTGATCATGATGGTGACGACGATGAGGGTTGGGGAAGCAATCATCCAAGGGTGCATGTCGGAATGCATGTCGCAGTGCCAGAAAGAGACGGGCGGTCCCTCGTCGGAGTGCGATGGTGCTTGCTCGGCCTTGTGCATTAACGCCTTGGGTGTCGCCGCCTCTGATTCTTCGGGGGTGTCGGCGCAATCTCTGGCCGGTCGATGATGCAGCTAGTGAATTGAAACTATAGTTTGAGAAGAAAGTAAAGAAAAATGGGACGAAATGCATTAGGGACAGACATACTTTAAATTGTACCTATTGACGCATTTTTGAAAGTGTACTAAATGGTCAGTAAAAAGGTTGATATTGTTGACGACACATGTATTTCGTCGAAAAAGTGATTTTTGTTTACGATAATTTACGGTCGTCGTAAAATTCTTGTCAGAACTGTATATTCGTTTTGTAGTGACTCCCCCTCCTATCACCTAGGGTACATATAAGTGTCATGTAAAAATAATAAAGAAATTGTACATACAACTGTCTATACAACATGATAAAATATATAGTAAAAATATCCTTCTCTTGTTGAACTTATAGTAATTACATTAAAAAAAATCTTGTACAAAGTTTATACTTAAAATTATAAATAAGATTTCTTAATTCAATAATTAAATATCCCAACTAGGCAACTACCATATCCAACCATCTGTTATAGGGAAATACTTAATCATAATAATACCATTACATATAAGAAACAATAATCATACAGCTATTATTAAGAAACACAATACAGGCTTAACAGCACCTTGGCCTATAAATAGCAGAGAGCTCTGCTGACATGAAACCATTCCTCCCAAACAGATTTAAAATCTCCCACTTGGAAAATTTTCTTCACCTCTCCATTCCTCTGCAAAAAACACCAAAATGAAGAAGAACACATCCATAATGCTCCTTGCTCTGTTCCTTGCTCTGTTCCTCGTTACACAGCAATGTGAATAGCTTATGATCTGATCTCTCTTCTTTCTCCTGATATCTCTTCTCCATTGTCATAAACTCGAGAGATTTGCTGATTACAGAACTGCTGTTGTTTTTCTTAACAGATGCAGGAGTGGAGGCGAGGACGGCGAGCGGGTCTGGATATCATCCCTTGAGCCAGTGCAAGAAAGACAGAGATTGTGCTCACATTTGCTCTGTTATATGCACTCCCAACACTAGATGTCAATGTGTTGAGAATTGGTGTAGTTGCAGTGCTTGAGCTTCTGTTATCACCATCCAGAGATTAAAAAAAACAAACAAACTTAATTGTACTTGATGATCTCGATTCAACCGTGTTTTTCGATTCAACCAAATTGTAAGGGAGCGATTAAATAATATATATATATGGATTTCTCCAAACAACTGGAGTTATTGGAATCAGTTGGTTTATGATATGGTATCGGAGATGGTTTGTCTAGCTTTGAGGTCCACGTGTTCAAGTACTTACGACCCTCGGTATTAACCGTTGTCTTAAAGCACATGGCATGGGGAGACGTGTGCAAACTTCAAGCTCATTAATCGGCTTTCTTTTGAGGGGGCGTTTAAGGAAGTGGTTAAATATCATATATGGACATCTCCGAAAAACTCGAGTTATTGAGACCAGTTGGTTTGTGACACAAATAAAATGTGTTTTTCTATTCAACCAATTTTCCCTTCAAGAGCATACTCTTGCAAATCGAATATGAAATTCAATTCTCTACAAACCTCAACTGGCAATAGGAAAACAGCACAGAGAGGAGCAAGAAAGGTAGTGATAATGAATGGGGGATGATTGAAGCCATCTTCATGGGACAAAGACCTACCAACCACCGACCGTGGTTTGCCCTAAATTTGTCTACATATAACCCCATATCATGTGTGCTAAGTCCTAACATTCTCTGCAAACTAATGGTGGAAGGGACACAAACAAGACATCATGCACCCCTCACATCCAATTAGGGACACAAAATGAGGAGTCGAGTCGAGTTTCGATCTAGTTAATGTTCAGTTTGTCAATGAACAAATTGAATTTGAGTTTGATTCATATATTGAAACATTGACTCATGTTTAGCTCAATCTCAGCATTATTAATAAGCTCGCCAGATGGGCTAGAACTCAAGTATCATACTATTTAGTTAATAAATTTTAATTTCTCACCTAATGTTATTTAATAACAATTAGTATCTAACAATATACGATACATAATTTTTCTATAATTGTTCATATATTTTCTCTTTAAGAGTCGAGGTGGCTCAAGCTACTTGCAAGCTGAACAAGGGCTACCTCAAACTCAAGTAGTTAGTAAACAAGCTAATCGTCGAATGAGTTTTTTCCAACCCTAACATCGAACCGCTTTCGGAGCAGTTTGACTCAAGTATCATACTATTTAGTTAATAAATTTTAATTGCTCACATAATATTATTTAATAACAATTAGTATCTAACAATATACAATACATAATTTTTCTATAATTGTTCATATATTTTCTCTTTAAGAGTCGAGGTGCTCAAGCTACTTGCAAGCTGAACAAGGACTACCTCAAACTCAAGGTAGTTACTAAACAAGCTAATCATCGAACGAGTTTTTTCCAACCCTAACATCGAACCGTCTTCGGAGCAGTTTGACTCATTTATAGCTCTACCTCCCATATTCTTAACACAAAGCTTGAATGTCTGTAATGAATACTTCACAGTATCTTACTAAATGAAAATTCTCGATGTGTACAAATACAATTAATTTTCATGAGTATTATTTTGGCTTATAAAAACCCACTAATTGAGCAACTAATGTTTTCAAAAAATACAATCCCAAATTTGTATTGTGTCTGTATATTATTATCTTAACACAAGTAGTTAGTAAACAAGCTAATCGTCGAACGAGTTTTTTCCAACCCTAACATCGAACCGCTTTCGGAGCAGTTTGACTCATTTATAGCTCTACCTCCCATATATTCTTAACACAAAGCTTGAATGTCTGTAATGAATACTTCACACTATCTTACTAAATGAAAATTTAATTCTCTCGATGTGTAAAAATACTATTCATTTTCATGAGTATTATTTTGGCTTACAAAAAGCCGACTAATTGAGTAACTAATTTTTTCAAAAAATACAATACTAAATTCGTATTGTGTCTGTATATCATTATCTTATTTGCTCTCGTTGAGAGTCGAACTCAAGACCTCCCGCTTACTAAACGGGTGCTCTAACCAACTGAGCTACAAGAGCTAGACATTACAAAAATATTTTATTAAGTATTTAACAATCACTTTACTTAATCACAATTAAACCCATACATTATACTATCATAAGTTTAATTTATCTCTACAACAGAAAAATTTAAATTCAAGGAGAAAATAATGCAATGAACAACATACCACAGCCTGTATCTCAAACTCTACAGAACAACACTTGTGCTTTGTTCTGCTTCGATCCCATTATACAAATACCTAAACAGATATTATTCTCTCAAAAGTCTTCTCAATCTTCAGCTCCTTGTTTTCTACTTCATATTTTATGATGAAATTGGGGATGGGGCTTAACTTAATTACAATAATACATTATCCCCAAAAGATGGAAAATTACACAGCATTCAACATAACCAGCAAACTGGCAACTAATTAATTCTTATCTTAACACATTTTCTTGTCAGAGATTTGAGATACAAGATCTATCCCCATGACCATCCTTCCCTCCCCTCCCACTACTACTTGTAAATTACTTATTTTATTCCTATGATCAAGATCAAAACCCCCTTTGATCTCTAATCTTCTAGCTAGCTACTACTTAATTAACCAAAGATCAATCTCTGGAACAAAATATAATATTCCCTTAAACCACAGAATCAATGAAAGTAATTTCATTGGAACTACTATGATTCTGACAGGTACTATAGAGTTGTACTTATCACATATCCACATTAGTAAGCGGTATAAGATTTAGAATTGAACATCTTTCACTAACTCGAGTTTATTGTGACCAATTTGTTCATGAGATAAGTATTAGAGCCTTCAATGATCGAGAGATTTGAGTTTGAATTTCAATAACTTGAGTTGTCGCTTTCGTTTTGAGGGGACAGAGCGTGTTGATAAATGGTATAAGATTCATAACTGAACCTCTCCAACGCAACAATTCGAGCTATTGGTATCAACGGATTCTTTACAGCACTACTCACTCTAAGTACTTCAATGTTCTTAAGTGCAAGATGACAAACAAACAAACTAATGGATGTTTATAACCTCTTTCTAAACACCATCCTCTCTTTTTAATATAGTAAACATATATTTGGATTTCCAGCTATATATGAAGAATATATGGTATGCAAGATGTCTCCAAATCCTAGACCAGTTGTTACAGTACTTCCAAGTTCCAACTCAGTGTGCTATGGCCGAATATAAATATCAGTATACATATAAGTGCGAGTTAGCTTGTTGAGAAAAACCAAACGAAAGAGAATAAAAAGATGATGATGATGAAGTACTTGAAGAAGCTCGAGGGAAGCTGTGTTATGAAACAATGTTTCAAAGCTGCAACCAGCTGCTGCTGCTGCTGTTGGAGTTGGAAACCAAAGAAGAAGGAGAATGTGGTCGTGGTTCCAAGAGGGCACTTGGTGGTTTACGTGGGTGAAGAATGGAAAAGATATGTGATCAGGGTAGCTTTGATCAACCATCCCCTCTTCAGGAAACTGCTTGACCAGCTGCTGCTTGATGATGAAGCAGATCATGATTTCCAGACCAGGAGGCTTCACATTCCCTGCTGTGACACCCTTTTCATCGACATTCTCGACTGCGCGAAACATGATTATGATTACTGCTGCCGACGACCCTCCTTCTGTTGTTGGAGCTCTTGCTTTTGATTTTTCCTTCCCATCCACCTCTGTTTTTTGTTCTGTTTTTTCACTGCTCCCCCTGCAGCAGCTCTTTCTGTACACAGGATTTAACTAAGTTCACCTTGTTTCTGGAATATATAAATTCTGAAATATTGCTATGAATGGCACATGATGACTAATGGAATATAGCATGGTCTCTCGACAGTAGAGAATTCAGTGATCTGAGTTCTAAAATTGGAACGATACAGAGGATTCAGTGATCGAGTTCTAACGAATTCTTCTCAGAAACTCATATTTCTCCCTCGATTTACATGCAGTAGTTATTGTAGTTTCTGCATTTAGATAGTAGCACATGATTGGACTTCACTAAGGCATAAAACATCTTTGACCAAAGCAATCTACTCTTTCCTAAGAGTTGAGACCAACCCCTCACCATGGGGTTCGAAGTTCCAACCCACAGCCACAAGGTTAAGAGCCTTAAGCACAACTGACCGAGCTAGACTGGCTTGTTTGATGGCTTTCTTAGGAGTTCATCTTAGCAGTCGAGTTCTTGAAAAGATAGCAGCAAAATAACTTCTGAACTGCAATGCATTAGTCCCCATGAATTATGATTAGCATGATTAGACAATGGTAACCGGCAAGCAATAGCCTTTTCCAAGATCAGGTCTGCATTTACACGTTTGATTTTGATATCTGATATCGACATCCGACAGGCTTGGCCTTTTCAGCCTTCATGGCAGAACAGAACAGACGCAATTGAAACCAGGCAAAACACATCATATTACAAGGGCGGGTAAAAGGATACAAAGAGCAATACATCGGAACCATCTGGTTCATTTCCAGAACTAAAAACTTTGAAGCCAAAAAACAAATTCCAGTGATAAAATAGCACAATGTATCTATCCCACAAGCACATTAGAGGCATCGGGAACCAAGAAGCATAGAATTCCTCTACCAAAAAATCCTCTGGGTTCATGGGTTTTGAGTGGTAACATATGATAATATAAAGGCCGCAGCAAATTGATATATGTTTCAAGCTGTAGAGGACTCCTTAGAATCCAATGCTACAAGAATGTGCGCTCTTGTGGGGGAATTCCAAAATTGGAAGGATCTAATTGAACTCTGGCTTCTCTGGGTATGTGCAGCCAGACCTCTGGATGATCACGTTGGCTGCGTAGGTGCCGGCTTTGACACAGTCTGCAATGGGCTTCTCCTGCACCAATTGCGACAAGAACCCGCCGACAAATGCATCCCCTGGAGAAAAAAATGCAGATATGTTATAGTCAGTAGTTAGAAAGAATAGAAACTTTATAACTAGCAGAAGTAGAATAGAATGTATCAACATGAACAAATGTGTTACAAAGAGTGGACATCTCGACCGTAAAATTCAATCACTGGAAACAACTTTAAACCGATTCTTACCGGCTCCATTGGTGTCAACGAGCTTTTCCTTAGGCAACAAGGTCACTGGGAATAGTTTCACCTTCCCATCTTCTGCCACGACAACAGGGTCGGCACCCTGTGTGATGACAGTAATCCTCTTGTGTGCCCCAGAGGCCTTGGGCCATTGGGAGATCCTGATGGCAATCTCCTCGACATTCTCAGTCTGAGAAAAGAACACATGATTCAATTTATAAGACTTTGCAAAATCGTTTTGAGTTTGTTGTTTATCAAATGAGGTAAAGCAAATACCTCCCATCCATGAACCTTTGAGAAGGTTCTAGCTTCAGTCTCATTGCCAAAGACAAAGTCTGCATAACTAAAGAGCAAGAACATGTGTAAGAGCCAGATCATTAACAGACGTTTATGTTATGAACCAGCATTTTGAGTGGGAAGCTTACGCCAAAACTTTCTCTTGGACATCCTTGAAGAACTCACAGATAAACGGTGCAGAAAGATTGGTCGAGAAGATCTGTCAAAAGCAAAACACTTAGACCAAGAATTTCATGAGCTACAAAAACTGGAAGGGTAAGAGATAGAAGGATAGGAATGATTACCTTGTTCTTGGCAGCTGCATGTTCAGCAACAAGCAAAATAGATTCGGGAGACACGGTCAAGAAAAATCCAGCAATGTAGTAATATTTGGCCTTCTCAACTATATACAAAAAAACAGAAAGTGTATCAGATAATATATTCAAAAACTAAAGCAAAACTGAACAAAAGACTTATGTGCAAGAAAAAAATACCTAGTGCCCAGTTTTCAGGTTTCTTCAAATGGTCAGCTTTGTAACAGTTCGCAGCAGACAAATTTGCAACAAGCGATCTGTGGGATTATTCAGTTTCTTAGTTCAGAAAGTGTTGACAAATATGCTGAGAACAAATGTCTGGTAAATTTAACAATCTGCTCGCACAATTCCATCTCCCTGTCACTGAAAACGAGAGGGCTCGCTCGAATTCAAGATGCACACATGTTCTGTTCTTTTTAACTGCCATTTAGTTAACCCATGAGACTCAATACTCCAGCTTATTACTACAGAAGAGTTATCACAAAAACTACGAAATAATGGTGCAAAGAATGCAACAAACAAAGCCTTCATGAAAAGTTTCCAAGCATGGCAGAATAATAGCCACCTAAGCATCAATCACTTTAAGAGTAGCAAATGTTGCTGTGTAACAATGCATATACTTATACCCAAGTTAAAAAATATCAGAATATATGTATGTAAAGGTACTAACTAACCTCTCACCACCGACAACACAGACGGCACATGTTCCAGTGGGTGCAGCTTCATCCTCATAGTAATGGACCTAATTTACAAAATACACACAGTAAGACGAAAAGTGAAAACAGAGAAATGAAGACAATTTATCACAGTCAAATCCAGATGAAAAAGTTACACACATTGACACCAGCTTCCTTAGCATTTTTCTTCATCTCTTCTCCAAACTTGTCCTTCCCAATGCAACCAATGTAACTTGTTGAACCTGGCTTTTGGAGCATCCACTGCAATATATACAGAAGAAAATCAGTAACATTGTATGAAGCATAGCAGAAATGTATCAGTAATTCGTGTGTATCATCGTACCTGGGCAACTCTGATGGAATTTTGAGTGGCACCTAAGAATTCAAAAGAAAAAAGTAATAGAATTAGCAGACTGAGCACCATAGACATCCTTCACGGTTAAGATGATGAAAATGCTCGCAGAACCCGATGTTACCTCCAGCAATGAAATCAACAGTGTATTTTCCTGCCATTTCATCGTACCTGCAAAAGTCAAGTACAATCAAATAATATAACAACCAATGAACCAATTGAGCCAAAGGCCAAAAGGTTACACATAATGAAAGATTCCTAGAGATCGGGAAATGAAATGATGATGCTCATTTTCAGATGGAATCGGGAAACTTACATGGGCAAGTGCTTGTCTTCGGCCAGGATAGCATTGTTTAGCTTGATGTCATACCTATCGAATGAACAAGCATCATTGTAAATCAAGATTGTTCGACATAATATTCATTAGTTCACACATCTAGATAGGGTTTCACTTTGATTGATTCCAAAGAGCCAACCACTCTCAAGATTCAAAAAAAAGTTTAAACCTTTTCAACCTCCTTTTTCTCACAACAATACAACCATTCAACCTCTAACTTCTAACAACAAAAAGAAATAGAAAATGACAATCCCAGAAGCCAAAAGATCAGTCATTTACTACACACACCCACCCGCAGACATGATATGAGATCTATTTCCCAAATCAGAAAACAACCCAACTAGGGAGTCCAAACAACAACAAATAAGACAAACCACAGATCCCGTACTAACACTACAAATCAATTCCAAACCCACTTCCCGGATCTAATCTCACGACATGATCAGCAACAAGCACAAACAAAAAGGAAGAAAGCTTAGAGTATATCGTTTTCACTACACGTACTTTGACAAGAAGCCGTCATCGACAACAGCAGAGATGTCGAGGAGTGGGTTTCCCATACCCAACAAGGTACCCTCGCACGCCATTCTTCGGATCTAGGAATTGGGGGAAAAGAAAAGGCTGTTGCTGCTTTGCAAATCTCTGCAGTGTAGTACTGGAGAGGAGACTGAGAAAGGTTTCTCCTTTTTACCGGTTCGGTGCAATAGAGAGGCGAACAAAAGGGGAGGGTCGAAGCCGAAGATATATAACAGCGGAATAAACGGGATCGGATCTTGGGGGCGGGCGGGGGGAGTAGCCAGTAGTAGGTGTTAAAGTGAAACTGTGAAAGTCTTAATTGATTAGTTTTTTTTTTTTCCTTAGTTGGTTGGTGGTAATGGGAAATGGAAGCTTTGAAATTTGCAGGTAATTCTGGTGATTTGTCGCTTTAGCCACCAACCCCCCTCCTAACACCGTCGCACAACCGCCACCGCCGCCGGCCGCCGTGCCTGCCTACCTTTACCTTGCTTATCTACGACGATCTAACTCCATTCTACTGGACTATTCTTCCACACTAGCTTTTAACCCGGTCAGTTGGCCGCATGGTTGTCACGACGGTCGTCGTACTACTGGTGAACCTGGTTCAATCTATACCGGTCATAAAACCGGTATGACCGGCATGATCGATATACGAATCTCTAAGTAAAATGATCTTATATTAGTGAATTTATTTGATAAAAAGTAATTTATTATTTATTTTATGTGTCAAAAAGTTAAATGTTGATGTTATTTGTTGGATTCAAGTACAAACATTTAGGTATTGACGTTAAATGTCGTGCTTAAATATGAGTATTTGTAAATTATTTGTAACATTAACCGGCACAAACCGGTATGTACCACCGGTCGAACCATTTCACTTGCTAAACCGACACACTGGCACAAACCGGTTTGACAACCTTGGTTGTCCGTAATTTTTATAATTCAATAAATAGGGTTTTCCTAGCCCTCCCTTCCTGGAAGAACGTGAATTTTTTTTCTTTTCTATATTTTTTAGTAAATTACTCTTTTCGATTGGTAAATCCCATAATAAAATGGTTCTCATATAGTTTTTAATATACTATATAATATATAATTAATTTCAGTAGTCATTGTCGAAGTTAACTTAGTTTTTGACAACCAAATAATTAATAGTCTAATCAAACTATTCAATCATACAATCACATCATAAAAAAAACCTCAAACAAAATGAATATTCCACCATTAATCCTAGTTCTTAGGTTATGTAGTCATTATCATAGTTAGTAAATACTCCGTTTAATACATGTATATGTACTCGTACGTATTTTATCCGTTTAAAACTTTCGTATTTGTATTATTGTCAAGTCGTTTCATTTGTTGTCGTTCATTTGATGGCTCCCATACTAAACACGTATAAAACCATATAACACGTTTAATATCCGTATTTAATAAATTAAAATGTTAACTTTACTATTATTTTATATATTTATTTATTTATAAGATAATTAATTTTATATATTTATGACTATTAACGTACTATTAAACGTAACATTTGCTTAGAGACGAAGTATAATACCCATACGTATTTTATACATAATTTCCAATACTGTATTCTACTGACTATGGTCATTATCCACCAAGTGCCTACATATAATATATTAAGTTCGGAGCCCAAAATTTTGAAAACTCTAAATAAGAAAATAGTTCAAAAGATAATTATGATAAATATTTTCAAAATTATTTATCTAATTTTCACTATATAAGATAAGATCATTTTTTTTACCAATATATAACTTGTATTACCAAGACCAAAAGATAGCACTGTTTACAACCCAAGAAAAAACCAACATTCAAAGTCAAAACTCTCAACACTAGCAGGCAACAAGGAAAGGGTCTTCCTGGCCACATCATGAGCCACCCGATTGTTACTCCTGCCAACAAAAGAAATGCCAAACTCTTGATGTTGGCGAAGCAAATTCTCGATCTCCACGAAAATCCGACCGCCCTTCACATCCCGAGCATCCTTCTTTTGAATCTTTTCAATGACAACCTTCGCATCTCCTCGGAACATTATTTCAGTAAGACCCTTCAAAGAGCACCACCGAATCGCATCTCGAAAGGTCATCAGCTCGACGATAAAAGGATCCACGAGACCTGCATAATAGAATCCCTGAACAAAACAAACAATTCTCATCACATCCCGAACAACCAACCCACCCGCACCATGGGAGCAAGGGGCCACAGCACCGTCAACGTAGCAGGAGAAAGGCATGGCGTGACCCATCCCAGCCAAACCTCTCATCTACTGGCTTGGCACCCGATGATCCTGACTTGGGTGCATAATTGCTAACCACTCCCTAACCTGAGCTTCATATTGGTGGACTAGGGTCGGAACACCATACTGCACATGCTCAAATACAACCCAATTCCTACTCTTCCAAATTCGCAATAGCAAGGCTACAAAGCGGACAATCCTCTCCGTTCCTGAATCCTGCTAAACGAGTTTTTGCAAGAACAAAGCAAAATTAGTGACCTCAGAGGTGAGCTCCCCCACAGCAATGCCCGAACTATTCCAAAGATCAATGGCGACCCGACAAGAAAGAAACATGTGCTCCAACGTCTCGCATGGCGCCCAACAGACCGGACATTTAGGCGAAAGCTCGGCATCATTCTCTGATGAATCACCAACCTCATCCGGTAACTTCCCCTCCTTCTCAATGAGCTCCTCCACAGTTGGCAAAATTCGTTTCACAACCTGCCACATGAAAAACTTCAACTTCGGAGGAATAGGAAAGACCCACACTTTCTTCCAAAATGCCATGTCAAATAAAGAAACTTCATTCTTCCATCCCGGCAATCTTCGATTTAGACGAAACGCTAGATGATACAGTGAGCTAACAGAGTATACACCATCACCCTCCCAAGCCAAACCAATTTATCCGGTACTGGTTGAACTGGGAGCGGAGTAGCATGATTGGAAAAGTAAGAATAGTAGAATACTATAAAAATAGAGATTAATTGTAATTATAATGAAATTTGTGATAAATTGTAAAAATAACCTGTTCTATCAATTTTAGTTTTTAGACGACGGGCTGGAAGTTGGGTACCGGTATTTGGGATATATTGAATACCGTATCGAATTTGTCTATATTTGGTATTACCGAATACACGTATTATTTCTTGGTATTGGGATTGGGATTGAATTTCAATTGTAATTCGGTATTAGGGATTACGGGATTGGGATCAGTATATACCGAAATACCGATCAATACCGAAATATAAGCTAGTGTGTATTTTATCCTCTCAACTAGACTCTCTCATTCACTACTACACAAGAGTGTCATTTAATTTTACATAGATCATTTCATCTTTGTTTCACAACTCAAAAGTCCACATCCAACTCAATTTTGACTTTTCAATCTAAGTCACTATCATCTCTCACCTAATAACTTGTTATTTTCATAACACCAAAAAACAAACACTAGTATTAGTCGACTATCAACTTTCAATTCGTCAAATTAAAGATTACCAATGACAAGAACTTGAAATGTCACCTCTCTTTCATTCTCCTTAGCCATATCCTAGCTCTAGGAAAACTCAAGACTCTTTGCTTAGTCTCTTTGCCCTAAATTAAACAATCAAATCTAGTTTATATATTTAATTATTTATTTCAAATATAATTAATTTCATATTCGATAATACCGATTGGGATACCGAAGTACCGATTGGGATACCAGAATATTTAGGGATTGGGATACCGAAATTATTTAGGAATTGGGATTGGGATTGACTTTCGGGTATAATTTGGTATTCGGGATTGGGATGCCGATACCGTACCAATTTCCACCCTAGATGAGGGTATGTCTCTGCAATTTTTTTTTTTTTTTTTTACGAACGATAACATGCATTCTTGCTATTTTGAACGGATAACACTAAAATCTCAAAACACGTTTACCAACTTAATAAATAATTTACAGTATAATTATGTGTAAATTTCCATAACAACAAATTATGTTATAACGAAGGATCAGTCATTCAGTCCTTGTAGTTCATACCATAAAGAACTCAAAGATTACATGCTTTATAAGTGTGCTGAAATTTGTCATGGGGTGGTGATTCTTCTACTGCAGAGGGTATTGATTATATACTAAAACAGAACCATGGTACATTTTTTGTGATTGGCAAGGTTTTTGGATATTGTGCGATGACAGAGGAATCTAGAACATAGATGATAATCTACAACTAATTGACATCTTGGTCACTGCTAGCAAACCCTTAAGGAAGCTTGATTGGTTACTTATGCATGCGATCTTAGTCACTTCTAGCAAACCCTTAAGGGGTCGTTTGGATTAGTGAATGTGATGAGGGATTTATGAGTGATTTTAAAACAATCTCTCGTTATGCAGGATTTTAAAACAATTATGCGTTTGGAAAGGTGAGAGATTGTGGGCATGAGGAAATTCTAAATCTCTCATATGAGAGTTTTTAAAATAGCTGATGGGGATCAGCTATTTCACAATCACTCATTTTTTCTCATTCTTTTCCAAACTCTGCCGCTCCTTTTGTTCTTCCTTAGGGATTAGGGATGGGTATAATTGTAACTTTAATTTTTAATTAAAATCCTTCATCTATTCCCAAACATGTTATTTGGATCAAATCCCACGTTTAAAATACCTGGGTTTTTAATTGAGAGATTTTAATCCAAATCCCTCATTTACACATTCCCTAATCCAAACGACCCCTAAGAGGAAGCTTGATTGGTTACTTATGCATGTGATCTTAGTCACTGCTAGCAAACCCTTAAGAGGAAGCTTGATTGGTTGCACTTAAGCATGTGTAGCTGTTGCTGATAGAGAGGTTTTTATCTTTAGTAGTGTAGCTGTTCTTGGTGATCTAGATGGCAGCATGGCAGGTTATGGACCATAAAGTAAAACTGCTTTATAGTAAGTCTGTCTACTTTGGAAACACCCATTTTCAGGTAAGACTCCTTTCATTTTCTGTCTGGATTGGTTTTCCATCCATTTGGCTTGAAACCAGTAGACAAGAAAGGGATTCTCGATAAATCAGACAAGATACAACATACACATTAATGGGCTAAAAAGGGAAAATGACAGTTCACTTTTACATGAGATCTGATGATGTATGCAGGAAAAAAATAACCACTCGAAGAAGAAGAAGATGACAGTCGTCTTGGCACAGTTATGTATACTTGATATTCATTCATAGAGCCTACCTAGCTGATAGGGAGAGGAGCGCCATTCCATTCCTCAAGGCACTCCAGCATAGGGTCAATCAGCTTCCCTTCACACATTGCTGAGAAGACCTTGTCGAAGACCTCACCTGGGGATTGGACCTTCTCGCCGGTAAGCAGACTGGTACCCATTTCTTCCCTCACAAACTTGTACAATGGGTACGATCTGCATTCCTTTATTCTGTTCGCAATCGCGGGGTTCCCATTCTCCAGCTCGGACCTTGCATTCTCCACTTCTTTAGGCAGGAGGGCCTTCAGCTCCTCCTCGAACTGTCCAATCTTGTGGAAGATCGAAGTGTTGGAGTCTTTCTCCATCTCCCCATTCAACAATGCATGATCGACTAGCACCTGCCTCAGTTTCTGCAGCAATGGGTAGTTTGCACAGCAAGGATCGTCAGCATATGCGAACACATACTCTCTGTCTGCGACTTTGAGCAGGTCCTTCTCACAGAATCTGGACGGGTGGAGCTCTCCATTCACCCCAGTGGTTAGCACTCTCTTGGCAACTTGGCTCACCGTGTTCTTCACTGTGTGCTTCAGGTTCTCCTCGATGTGCCTCAAGTCAATGGCTTGACAAAGAGCAACCAAATAAGTGGTGGACATGAGCTTCAAAATCTCTACTGCTTCAGCTGTCTTCCTTGCTGATATCAACCCCAGCGAGTTCACATCTTGGTTATGTTGTTCCGCACTCTGGACATGGTTTGTGACCGGATTAGCAAGGAACTGGAGCTCCGAGCAGTAGGATGCCATGGCGATCTCAGCACCTTTGAAACCATAGTCCAAGCTAGGGTTTCGGCCACCGGTGAGGTTCGAAGGCAGCCCATTGTTGTAGAAGTCATTGACAAGCTCAGAGAATTGAGCAAACATGAGCTTACCAATAGAAGCAACGGCTAGACGAGTGTTGTCCATCGAGACACCAATGGGGGTGCCCTGGAAGTTACCTCCGTGGATTGCCTTCCCCCTCGAGACATCAATCAGCGGGTTGTCATTCACAGAGTTGATTTCCCTCTCGATCATTTTGGTTGACGACCTAATCACTTCAATCAGTGGGCCAAGCCATTGAGGTGAAGTTCTCAAAGCATACCTATCTTGCTTGGGCTTCTGCAACGGATCAATCTCATGCAACTCCTTAGCAGCTTTAATGTAATCACTTCCATCCAATATATGTTCCATGATTGCTGCAGCTTCAATCTGGCCCGGGTGATGCTTTAACTTGTGTG